TTCATTGATCGGTCAGGGACATTACAAATCGGCAGGGGAGGGGCGTCGGCCGCCGGAGGGCCGCCGTCAGACACCGGGCCGTGACACGGTGAGGGCGCGGGCTGAGACGGTCGGTCGTGCCATCGACCCGGCGCCGCGGCAGCCGGCAGCCCGGGAGGGACGGAAGGGTCACGGTCAGGAACACCTGATGGTGGCGTGCTGTGGGGAGGGGGAGACAGGAGCCGCTGAACGCTGGCAGGCAGGAGGGGGAGGAACTCGCACAAAGCGGAGCTTGTGTGTTCGTCGCTCGAATAGCTGTTGGGAAATCGGATATTACCGTATGTTTTATTTGGTGGCCAAGTTGATCAACTAGGAAGTCTCACAAACACTGCTCAGCTCAACTTGAGGTGTTGCGTGTTACCGCCTGCTGACAGTTAACCAAAGGCTTAAGCTTTCAATATCCGGGAGTTTAGCAGTTTCGAAACTTGGCCGTGTTTTGTGGCCATGTTTTGCACCTCCAAACGGCGGAGGTACGACCGACTGCTCCCCGAACCACGACAGCTCCGAACTGGCGCCACAGTTCGGGTCACGTGACCTAGGTAACGCCTCCCGTGACGCCGGAGGTCACGCCACCTCTGACTCGGCTGGAGTCTGTCACAGCAGACGCCGCTGGTCTGGGCGGCGACACACGGCAGAGCGTCATCGGCACACGGATCGTGCGTCCAGGGTCTGAGACAGGGATTAGGGAATCGTAGCGATACGGGACGGCGAATATCCGTGATATATTCCACATCCACCTTTGCCCAGAGGTTACGTTAGTGGAATCAGTCAAACTGGCACATCTTACATAAGTTCTTTCGAAATGCCGGTATAGTAAAAATGATCATGCCTTACGGTTGCCTGAATCTCATGGCTTGGTTTACTGTGTGACCGGCTATTGCAATAATGCTTAGGAAAACGTCAACGTTATGATGGTGAGCGGCACTGAGCACAGTCCTATTAGTTGTTACATCGCATCACTCCACGATATTGTCACATCAGTCTGATCGACTGTTTTCGTCAATGACGCTTGACGACGCTAGCCTAACGACATTCCTACCAATGCCACATATGAGCTCCGTGTCGTGATTTGCTCGGACGAGATGCCCGGTCTGTGTTGGCCTAACGATGCCCCAGGAGGAGACGGGACGCCGTGTGGTGTGCGTGAAAATGCGGCGAGCTGCCGCGGAGTTATCGAGGCGTGCTGTATAATGTATGCTGATGAGATCCGCGCGAGAATGCTCCGCGAATCTGCTTCGTAGGAAGGCCCTTGAAAAACATCGGCATGCCTACCGACCCATGGCTGGCTGATGGAAACGTACCGCAGAAAACGATAGAAAGGGGCTGTTTTAGCCACATAGATTGTTATTGAATAGCAGCATGTTATAAGCCATCGTACTGATAAAGTGTGATAATGCTAGATTAGAAGAGTTACATGCGATACCGAATTTAGTCGTCAAACATTTACCACTGCTCTGCTTTACATTCGTTTTAAAGCGTAATAAATTTAGTGAAAACAGCCAATTTGGCTATGAAACAAAAACTGCAAGTCTCAAACACACCACACAGTCGTGTGTCATGTAGAGCGAAAAGGCGCAAAGCAGCTGACGTTAAATTGCTTTTTATGTTTCAGTGTCCATTTCTGGCAAATAGGGTGCCAAATCGTCGAGCTGTGCCTCAATCCCATACATATTCTAGCCATAATTGTAGCGATGCATGCTCGTGAATTGCACGCTCAGCACTATAAAACCAGCTCCAATCTGCATAGTTGAGATATTCCACTAAACGACCGTTTTGCAGTGTGCACAGCCCAACAGGCCCGACATGAAAGGTCCGGTTCTGACGTCATAGCCACCATCTGACGTCACCAGGGTCCAAAGCACTGGTGGGTAATCACACCTCGGTGATCGCCGGCGCCAGTTGGTAGCCGTACAATGACGTCGATTTGGCAGCAGAGTTGATCGGACGCCCGTTTGGTGGCAGGTCAGTAAATTGCTGACCCCTAATGCGGCACGGTTGACCTAACTCGCCCGGCTGATGAATGAAGTGGTGGCCAAAATATCGGGAATATCGGATTTTATTGATGAGTTGGCTGGATGATCTCTCGGGTGCGTTAGTTTATGGACTAGATATGGACTCTGGTCGTTCTATGTAGACTTTAAGATGCAGAATTACGAGCAATCACATTTATGGAAACGCTAGCAAAAACGCAGGTTTTGCATGAGAAAAAAAAAACTATTTGTATTGCAGGCTACATTTTTTTTCGTTGTTTTATATATTATGACTCATTTGACATTTTTGAAATATCAATTTTGTTGCGAAGTGTCGTAAGTGACTTCATCGCTCACATGTCATAGCATTCCATTTTAGCGCCCTGCTCGCATCTGTCGGCCGCGCTCGAAGCCGCTGGCTGAGCCGGTAGTCCCGTCGCCGAATTCTGAACTGCAACCCATGAGTGACGGCGGGTCATTTGGACGCCGCGCGACCTACCGACAAAGTTGGAGCCGTGTTCGGCCGGCCCAAATCGCCGCTGTCCGTGCCGCCGCTAATTGGTTTGGTGTGGGGTTGGACGCGGCAGCGCTGTTCGCGCCGGTCCACCCGTGGGGCGTTCCACGACAAATCGACAAATAAAAGATGAAATTTGCACCCTCATATTTTATTTTTCGTTGAAAACTGGTGTAAGGGGTTGTGATGGGTGGGGAAGCCAGCTGTGACAAGGATTTTTTTTCTTCGAACAACGGTTTTCGAGATATAGCCTCGGGCAATTCCTGGAGATTGCGCTGCAGCCCTATGTTTGGCGGCCTATAACTCAGAAACTATTTTTTTTACGATAAAAACTTTATATGGTTCAACTTACAATTAACCAACAAACATTTTGGCTATCTCGGATTTTCAATTTTTGAAAATTTTGATCACGTGACCTTTTCACCTATTTTTTGAAGAGTGACCTTGATATTTTCCCCACTGAAAGTTGCAATTTTGTCTTATGACGATGAAAGCTTTATCAATTGTCATTCATATCCGATAATAAAAAAAGTGGTTATCGCCCTGCGTTGACCTCAGGTCAGGCCATTTTTATGACCTGTCTATTATGACAAGCGGGAGCGACAGCGAGATCTCGAGAACAAAGCAAGATAGCGACAAGCGGTAAACGGTGCAGGGTACACACGGATAAGGTCTATAATTTTTACTGAAGTCATTTTCAGGTCAGGTCAAAGATGACGTCACAGGAGCAAAAAGGAAGTCAAAATAGCGGCACTACATATATATGAGGTTTTTTCTCGAATAGCTTTCAAGGTATCCCAGCTAGGAACAAACTAATAGCACCATCGTGATCCTCTCGTCGATCCGCATCGAAACATATGTATGTTGACCTCGAAAGGTTGAAAGGTCAAAAGTTGACATTAGGTCACGTGACCTAAGGTCAACTTTTGACCTTTCAACCTTTCGAGGTCAACATACATATGTTTCGATGCGGATCGACGAGAGGATCACGATGGTGCTATTAGTTTGTTCCTAGCTGGGATACCTTGAAAATTATTCGAGAAAAACTTCATATATATATGTAGTGCCGCTATTTTGACTTCCTTTTTGCTCCTGTGACGTCATCTTTGACCTGACCTGAAAATGACTTCAGTAAAAATTATAGACCTTATCCGTGTGTACCCTGTACCGTTTACCGCTTGTCGCTATCTTGCTTTGTTCTCGAGATCTCGCTGTCGCTCCCGCTCGTAATAATTGACAGGTCATAAAAATGACCTGACCTGAGGTCAACGCAGGGCGATAACCACTTTTTTTATTATGGCATATGAATGACAGTTGATAAGGCTTTCATCGTCATCAGACAAAATTGCAACTTTCAGTGGGGAAAGTATCAAGGTCAGTGGTCACTCTTCGAAAAATAGGTCAAAAGGTCACGTGATCAAAAGTTTCAAAAGTTGAAAATCCGAGATAGCCAAAATGTTTGTTGGTTGATTGTAAGTTGAACCATAGAAAGTTTTTATCGTTGAAAACCAAAAGTTTCTGAGTTATAGGCCGCCAAACATAGGGCTGCAGCGCGATCTCCAGGAATTGCCCGAGGCTATATCTCGGAAACCGTTGTTCGAAGAAAAAAATCCTTGCCACAGCTGGCTTCCCCGCCCATCACATCCCATTAGACCAATTTCAAGCAAAAAATAAAATATGAGGGTGCAGGGCACTTGTCGATTTGTCGTGGAACGCCCCCCGTGATGAATAACCCGTCCGCTGGGGCTAGCGGCGATCGGTGCCGACAGGCTAAATAGGATAGCGGCGCCGACAGCATGTCAGAACAGCGCGGGTAGGTGGGGAACCGATCAATAGGTAATAATAAAAGTCAAAACATGAGTCCAGCCGACCGCTCAGCCCATCCGATTTGCCGCATGAGCTAACCTCCTGCTCGCTAGATGGCAGCACGGTGAGACGCCTGGACGGATATGCTGTACCGCAATGCAGCGCTTGGTGGGACTGTCCGTCCTAGCCTGCAAAGACTGAATTATCGGGCCCATGCCGTGCGTTTCTGCTGTGCGTAGATGACTGGTAGCTCAGTGTTCTTTCTGAACATTGTTGTTGTCTGATCAATGTTCGTCCACTGACGCTTTGCACAGCTCTGACAGAGTGACCGTTTCTTGAAGCGGACTGTTTAGGGAATGTTCGCCATTGTCGCGCACGGCTGACCCCAGACTAGAAATATCCGCTCCCTCGAGCTGCTGGTTTACTGCCGTGCGATAGCCGAACCGGCTGTTTATCGCCCCCCGCCCGTTCGCCGGGGCGACAGCCGAGTGTTGGCGGCGCCATTCACTTTATGAGCCGACTGTTGGCTGCAGGCGGCCGGCGATTAAGATCCCAGAGTCACAAAATGGCAAAGGCGACGGAATGTCGACTGCTGCAGCCGAGGGCTCGTTGAGATCGTGCCGAATTGTGAGCAAACGAAAGCACTGGGCCATAGAATCGGGAGGATGACTAGTCGCTAAATATAAACCCTGTACCTTAGGGCTCTGGGCTTTTATTATATGACCCTATACCCACGAAAGAAAGGCTAATATCATAAAGATCTTCTCGCAATACGACTGAGGCTGGTAGATGTTGTCTTGTATGTAAACTGTCCGTTTACCATTTCAACTTTTACACATTTTATCAAGCATACTACACTATTCTCACACTCGCCCATCTCAGGAACAGTTAAGATGAAGTCCGGTGATAGTTTCGAACGAAGTTGAAAACTTCTTCATGGTCCTCGTTGATATTCAAACAAAGCAGTCTCGACATGAAACTCTGTCCTACTCAGAAGCACTTCCGGTGTACGATATCGACCCCGACATCATCATATTCCGCTCGAGAGACCCACATCTGCTGAAACGTCGACAGTGAAGCCAGCACAGAGCCGCCGATCCAGACGAAAAACTTTCGCGACGCGTCGGCCATGACCTTGACCTTCATGGTGCTGGGTGCCATGGCCTGCACGTCCTTCTGCAGTCGCTCGTCCAGCCCGTTAAACATGGACGAGCCGCCGGACAACACGATGTTCTCGTAGAGGTCTTTCCTGACGTCGATGTCCGTCTTCATGATGGAGTTGTAGGTGAGGTGCGCGATGCCGTCCGACTCCATCCCGGTGAGGGAGGGCTGGAAGAGCGCCTCGGGCGCGCGGAACCGCTGGTTGGCCACTGTGACGATGTTGCCGTCGGGCATCTCGTAGTCGACCGAGTCCTTGTTGCTCATCTCGGCGTCAAAGTCGACGGCGATGTAGCACAGCTTCTCCTTGATGTCCCTGGCGATTTCCTTCTCTGCCGTTGTGGTGAGACTGGTGCCCTGCTCGGTCATCAGGCGGCAGAAGTAGTCGGTGATGTCCCGGCCGGCCAGGTTCAGGCGCAGGATTCCGTGCGGCATGCCGAACCCCTCGTAGATGGGCACCGTGTGCGACACGCCGTCGCCGGTGTCGATCACCACGCCCGTGGTCCTACCGGAGGCGTACAGAGACAGCACCGCCTGCACGGCCACGTAAAACGCCGGCACGTTGAATTTCTCGAAAAAGATCTGCATCATCTTTTCCTTGTTTTTGAGAGGATTCAGCGGCGCTTCAGTCAGTAGAAACGGATGCTCCTCTGGCGGGATTTTCAGATCCTGGTTGATCATGTGATCCCAAATCATTTCCATGTCGGCCCAGTCTTTGATGATGCCGTGCTCGATCGGATACTTCAGTTTGAGTACACCCCGCTTGGCCTGGGCCTGTTCACCTACATACGAGTCCTTCTGGCCTGCGCCGACCATCATCATGGTTTTATGTTTGGGCCGACCGACGATCGATGAGAACACGGCGCTCGGAGTGTCGTCCCCCGCCATCCCGGCTTTGCAGAAGCCCGATCCGTTATCAAGGACTGCGGCCGGTGGACCATCGCCCATCTTATGCCAGCCCTCGGGTGAATGCCGTTGATTTGCGGTTTGTTATTGACGTAAAGAATGGTGATGACGATGTCTAGACTACAAGAATACCATAACAGTTATATAAAAGCAACGTTTAAAATTAATATGCTTCGAATTTATCATAGCCATAACTGATAATTTACCCAGAGTAACAATTATGCTGCAGATTCCGTTTCAAAAGTGTGTGATTGCGCCATCTGCATCAACTGCGCCACACAGACCGTCATTATCGGCGATCGACTTTTCTGCCTAGGGAACAAAAACAACCTTTCAAAGGTTTCACGTGCTTTGACTTTTAAATACCCTTCGTGGTCAAACTTGTAAGCGTCAGAAACATAAAAGTCCCCGAGCCTCAAAAGCTAACTTTGAGAAAGTCAGATATTGGTATCTTTTTGGAGCATGAAATTACGTCGTTCCTACTAAAGGCTTCGATCACCTACGGCGGTTGATTCAAAATTGTTTGAAAATGCTTAATGCATTACCATATACCTTTCATAATGGCCACACACTTATCAAATATATACGTACAACCGCTGGTCATTCTCGTCGAGACTGAACTATATAGGTAGGTACATCAGCTTTAGTTCACTCTTTTCTGACTACTGACTCTTTATTCTGTTCGCAGGCTTTGTGGTGGTCGCCTCGTGCGTGATGACGTTCGAGGCGCGAGACTCGGCCTCCAAGATCGTGCCGGCGCGCTTCCGGCCGAGTCAGGAGACGCGCCGGTCGGCCGAGGGGCCCAGCCAGCAGAGCGCCGCCTCTCAGACGCAGCCGTGGTACCTGCTGCCGCCGCGGCCGGCCTGTCTGCTCTCTCGGACGGCCTCGGCGCCGTGCGGGGGCCGCCGCAGGTCGCCGAGGGCTCCGCGCGGCTCGCTGGGCCGCCGGTACCAGCCGGTACCCGGCAGCCCTCGGCCGCGCTCCGTCACCGGCAGGTGGCGCCACCGCCGCTCCTGCCGGCCGCGCTGCATTCTGGAGGCGCTGAGAGCTAACAGCGAGGTGGTCCGCTCCATAGCCACTGACGTGTCCGAGCTGCCGCTGCCCAGCCTGTCATCTACCGGACAGAATGGGAACTCGGGTCTCACGTCGCCGCCGGCCGCTGTGGAGGGCGGGGACTCGCCGGAGTTTCTGGGCACTGGCTGCCGGGATGTGGTGGTGTGTGTGGAGCTGACGGCCGAGGATGACGTCATCACGTCCAGCAGTGAGGTGTGCGGCTCTGCCGAGGACATGAGCTCGGTCCGATCGCTGGCCGGCAGCCCTGCCGAGGACAGTCCCTCGGACACCGACGGTAGCGACATCTGTGACGAGGCGGCGCCGCTGGCCGAGGGCGACTCCGACTGTCTGGAGGAGGGCTCCACAGAGGACTCTGAGGAGCCGGACCCTGCCGCTGCCCTCGGCGCCGTCACAAACTGTCTCCCGGTGACGGCCAACGGGGGTCACTTCGTGGTAGTGAAGTTCAGCGGGCCTGAGGACGCGGAGACAGAGGCAGAGGGCAGCACTGGTGGGGCCGAACTAGAGGTGGCTGGACCTGACTCCACCACAGCGTCTGTCCCGCCTCCTTCAGACGCGCCGCCGCCGCCGAGGGAGTCGGTCCTCTCTCCGGACATGGCCCTGAAGGTGCTGCGCGGCCTGCCCGCCTTCAGTGAGGTGCTGAACAGCTCCTGCCTGTCGCCGGACGCTGCGCTCTCAGTGCTGGACGGGCTCGGCGCCTCGGACTCCTCGTCCGAAGCCTCGGACATTACGGTGGTGCTGGCGAGACCGAGCGGCGGCTCTCGGCTGTCGATCGATCTGAGTCGCTCGCCGGACCTGCAAACCTCGCTGTGCCACTCGATAGGAGCGCTGTCTGGGGATGAAATGTCCCCCGACGTCGAAGAAAACTGTATTGTTTTAGAGGCAGATGACGGCCCGGCGCCGTCTCATAGTCGAATAGACAGTACGATAGTGTTCTACGAAACAGAGCTCGGAGACAGCCTGCTTTCAAAGGGAAACGGTGACACATTGAACCACCTGACCCCGATTCCGAGCGATGGCCCAGCCGGACGGAACAGCGCCGGCCATCCTGAGGTGTGTGACGTCAGAGTGGTTGTGACGTCATCGTCCTCGTCGCCGGGGTCTCCTGCGTGTGCCCCGAGGCGGCCGGGCAGCTGGCACGGGTCCAGCTCGTCCAGCGGCCGAACGGCGGGCGGACGCTCCCACGCCGAGACAACGGCTACGTGAAACCCAAACGGCATGTGCTCTGGACTCGGTGGGGAGTTCATTGTGGACAGTTTCAGCGCAGCTGGCTCGAATGTGACTGTGATAGTTGATAAAACGTGCAGCTGCTCTGTGTTTAGACAGGCCTATGCCGATTAATCGGCATAGGCCGATTGCTGACCACTGACAGGTCGGCATAGGCCGATTGCTGACCACTGACAGCCGTATGACCGTTTACCAATGAATGAGCTTGTTCTTTATGTTTTTCAGTTGAGATGGGCAGTCATTTCGCTATGTCTGTTACCATAAAAGTATTGTTTTTTCATATACGGTTGTATTTTGTAAGCGTTCAGCTGTGTTCTCTTAATATTTTGTAAACGCTGTGCTGTCAACGTTTATTTTGTCAATATTTTGTCAGCTGTGTTGTTATCTCGTCTGATTGCAAGTTTTTGTCAGACTCGTCTTACTACGCTGGCGTAGTTGATGTTTTTCTTTCTGTAGCCATGATTGTGTATTGTATCAATACCTATCGATATCGTATCGAATATTGAAGGCATCGGTAAATCAAATATGTATTTAAAGTTTCTTCCTATTGACTAGGAATGTTACGATTTTTATGTTAAGCGCATAAAGATTTGTTTTATATGTGATGTTCTTTTTATACATATTGACCCTACCTTACTACCAATACCTATTCAATAACCAAAATATAGCATATTGTAGAACCCGTGCACGGTTTACCCGCGGTAATGCCTTTGGTCTGGTGTGACCAGTGCTCAAGGTCCATATGTGGTCTCTTCCAGGGAATCGGAGGGACTGAGACCATCGCTTCAGACCTCACAGTGTACGGCGCTGTGCCCAAGAGCGACACCGAGTAATGTATGGTCCGACCCAACGATATTAGGAACTGCTGAATGCGACATGGTTACGTCGTCGCTTTGCAGCGTGCGTGCGCTGGGTCGTAAACGATGTCAATGTTTTCACTAGTCGCTAGTCACCAAGTGACCGTACCTAGCAGTGTCGTCGCCAAGGTTGATCAGCTGCCACTGAATTGAATGTGGACGATATCATGAGGCAATATTGTTCAGTTCACTTATAGAAGGCCACTGTGGCATGCGTTGGCTGTTCTCATGATTAACATCATTTATGATTTAGAGTTATCGTCTATCGAAATGTATCGCTGCTGAATGTAATAAAATATAAATATTGCGGTTTAAAATTTACGAGAATAAACGAAGCTTATTTCGACAGTCGCAAGAGAAATAGTTCAAAGCTACGAGAGAAGTAAACGGATGGATTTTTTTAGTAAAAAAAAAATAGAGCCATCTTGGTAGGTTTTGAAATCTACTGGCTACAGCTCAATCGAGAAATAGGTACCTCACCAGTCACCATTCACATCATCGACGCCGCACTGGACGTGCACTGCGGTACAGTATGCATTCAGGCGTTTTTATACTGCCATCTAGTGGCAAAAATATAAGCGTGATCAGGCCTTGCATTTCCTTCATCGAGTCTGAAATACTAGTAATCTGGCAGCACTGCTTCCAGTTTGACGTCAGATATGTCACGCATGCGCTAATTTGACAACATATCTGCTGGCGGTGTGGAAAGGAGGGGCGTGAACTGAATGGGATTTCTGTATTTATTATTTTGGTAATATTGAGATTATTCAGTAATACTTGGATCAGTTGGCTGAAGATGGCGGCGACATCAGACTCCTTTCTTGTCATTGACCCCGCACAACTTCGCTTCAAAGGTATTTTATGCGCCATTGCCAATATTGCCATTCCAGTAGGTGGAACTATGGTCATGAGTACCCAAATATAGGAACGTTCCCATTTTTGGGAACGGAGTTCCCAAATATGGGAACGGGCGTTCCCATTTATGGGAACGGAAGGTAATTTTTCGGCCGTTCGCCCACTAAAACTCATTAGTGCATCACGTCTCAAAAAAGTGCACGCTAATTTAAGTATCTACTAAGTCTCTATAAAATTATCTTTAATCTGACCGTTGCACAAGGAAATTGACCGTCGAATGATATTTTTAATGATTTTTTGAAATGACGGAATGGTGAAAACATGGGTTATACTACATTTAACTTGCAATTTTAAGGAAAATGAAGCGGTTTTTACATTTTGAGGTCAAGTATAATAATTTTCGCCTGGTTATGAAGTTTCATACTAGCGACACCAGATGCTGACATATGCAAGCGAACACGCGGACAGTCCGGGGGTAATATTGGTGACATTTGGTGTCGGGGCGCACAACCGCATGGAACGTCAGTGATTTTACCGAACTACTGTTGTAAACTCAGTTTCAGTGGTTTAAAATTATTCAACTGTATTTTATCATCCCAGAAAGACATATTTTATTTGGATGCTAGCTGTTTAGAGTTGTTTTATAAGGAGCGTCATGAGCGTGGTTTTTGTCTTCCGTGTTTCTAAGCGTGATCGTTTTGGGGGAATTTCTCTTATATAGGTCGCTCTGTGTGGCTTATTTATAATTTTTATGCTGATTTCGATCATTCCTCGTGCCCATCCTACCAGGCCTTTTGCCACTTACACTCATCAAGAAAGGAAAAAACTAGATTTTCATTGGGACTAGGTGTTTTGAGGGTGTTACATATTCAGCGTTCCCATTTTTGGATACTTCCTTGTGCTCGTCAACTATCGGTGATAAACAGACAGGTGCTTGACATGTCTCCACCCTCGGCGCGGACGGTGGATATAGGTATGGAAGACCTTGTTGAACATCGCTGAGCGTTGTGAATTACGTAATCCTGCAGAGGGGGGCGTGCCCGCTGCGAGATCGACGGGAATAAAAGCGCAGAAGACCGGGCGAAACATGCGACGGTCTTGCCGGAAAGGTCATCTGATGATTGTTGCGTTAACAATAATTTGCGGCGTTGGACGTGATGCTTGTTAATGAAAAGAGCCCCTGAAAGGCGTCGGTGAAATCGTTCCCAATTTTGGGTACGCCGTTCCCATAATAAGGAACGCTTGCAGCGCCAGTGTACGAGAGCGTTCCCAAATTTGGGCTCGCGGCCCGGATGATGGACTGCTTTAGAAATAGGGGAACGATTTGAAACTACGATGGGCGTTACAATATCAAACTCTTTCCCAACAATATTGAGACAAATATCAGGCGGTTCACGATCGTTTTATATTTTATGGACGTCATTTAACGGTTCTTTTTCTTGTTTTAAATAATGCCTACATGGCGTTCCCATATTTGGGTTTATCGTTCCCAAACATGGGAACGAAAATGCGTTCCCGAAAATGGGTACGCTTGACCATAGTTCCGCCTACTGATTCCGGGTATTGGTAGTTGCTAGGTATGAGTTTCGAAAATATGTCATTGGCAATACATGCGGGGTGCTAGTACTCAGGAATTTTCCTTGTTTTTTTTTTGGATAATTCAAGCTTGTTATACTCAGATACTGTCTTCGCTCTGTCATGTTTGGGATGCTTAAACCTTATTCTGAGACCAATTTTCAGCTTTTTTGTGTTAGTTATAGTGTTTGGGTGGTTGAATTGCATTTTGTTTGTGTCTATGAATTATATAAAAAGTGTGCATGCATTGCATATGATTTATAAGGACCTTAGCTTTACAATGTTCTGAGAAAGTAATGAACAGCTAAATCAGTTTGTTCTGGTTTGTGATTTATTCGTCTTGATGATGAAGCAGAGCAGGTATCTTTGATTATTTCTATTGTCTAATTTAAATGCTCTTTATAGTAGCAATCATTTGCATAAGCCTCCTTCAAATAGAGAATTATTGCTAAGTAAGCGCTCAAGTCTTTTGCACTGCAAATGCATGCTGCCCAGTAAAAAATGTACCTAGCTGGGTAGGTACCTTTTGTGTGTCTCTGTTTCTAGAAGCTCTTTTTGTCCTTTAAGTGATATGTCCTTTTTGCGTTACCTACATGCCTTTAACAGTTTACCATGCCCTCATGTTTCAGGTCCATTTAAAGATGAAGTGTCAAGCAGCAGTCTTAAAATTACAAATACTTCTGACAAGAAGGTTACGTTCAAGGTAAAAACCACAGCACCAAAGCGGTACTGTGTGCGACCCAACCAGGGAGTCCTCAATGCAGGAGCATCAACCAATATTGCAGGTGAGGGCTATCCCATTCCCAAGTCACATCTTGGACTCTGGGCCTCGATCTGCATTCACTGATAGTCTGCTCAGTGGCAGCCACAGTCCTGTAAATCTCTCCTGCCTGTCTGCTGTCATGTTCTGTCACTCAGTGACAGCTGGTGACCTGTCCTTGTGTGACAGATAACATTTAGGTCTCATTATGTGACAGCTGGCCTTCCTGTAGCTGACAGGGGAGACTGCACCCAGTTCCATCTCCTTCTGACAGTGTTACAATGTGAAATATGTGATGCTGTTGGGTGTGACAACTGGGCAATCCAGTTTTCATTGCAACCACAGGAGTCCTACCCTCCAGAGATAGGTGTAGTTAAGTTCAACTTCCGCAGCCTCTTGGGTGCTGACTGATGACAATGTCTCATATCTTCACAGTAATGCTGCAGCCTTTTAACTATGACCCTGCTGAGAAGAACAAGCACAAGTTTATGGTGCAGACCATGTTCCTGCCAGACGGAGACACTGGCGACCTAGAATCTCTGGTGAGTGCCTGCAGACTGCTCCCATCACATGCTAGCCTTAGGCTTGGGTCTGAAGATCCTTTGACACGATGATAATATTATTGAGAATGTCAAGGACTTCTGTCTAATTTTCGGTCAAACTATGCTGTTTTTGCTTACTCTGTGTCAACTTACACTGAGCCTCAAAGTACGTTTTATTTTAAAGGAACATGAAATGCCAGAAATGTTGAAAGCTTCGTAGTTTGCAGCAGTCCCCAGCGATGTTCTGGTGTATATCGTGTTATGTTTTTCATGTGTCTTGATCTGCTGATTTGATGGGCATTCCGTCGAGCTTGTGGACCTCAATTATGTGTGTTGGCTGGAACATTCACTGTCTTTCCACGTTTCCAAACTTGGCGATGCAGAGGTTGATATTGCGGTCTCGGCTCCCTCGCCTACGGGAGGGGAGGAGCGGACGAGGAGGTACCGCTGGACGGTCACGCGCGGCCGCTGCCGTGACGATGAGGCCGAGATAGGGCGGGCAGTGTAACGTCTGACACGCGATCAGGCTGTCCCGGCACGTCCACTCAGGCTGTGTGTTGTTGTGGAAGGGGAGCGGGAAGGGTTGAACACAGGCGCTGGACAAAACAATCATTGCACGCGATAATTTTGCGGTTGGTTGCTCATGTAGCGAAAGTCATTGACCACAATGGTCGCTCTGTTTTTCCTATGTTTGTCTTCGGGTCATTTTCGCTTTCGCCGTCTACTTGTTAATAGTCGCTGAAATGTGATCGAAATTCCACGCAAATGATGAATGCTGGTCAAGATATTGGCTGCAATTTGATCTATGAACTGGCCTTGCACGAGATATCGTATCTGCTGTTCTGTTGATATAATCTCGTATCGGATGCATCACCGATCAGACCGATATCGCGTTTCGTGATCACTGAAAATGATAGTGACCTGACCTTCAGTCGCCGGGCGGGTCCACCGTCCACCGTCACAGGTGGTAATCGGGGCGATAATTGACCCGTTGTCCGAGTCAGACAGACGGTAACCCCTAAAACGGTCACGGGTGGCCAGCTAAAGCCATGACCAGATGGGACTGTCGTGACGGTGTCTTGGCCGGCTCACATTCTTGTGACGGTATGACTGATGGTCTATACGTGTGACGGCATGGTCGTCCGTCATGCTCGTGACGGTTTGTTCGCCAGTCTAATGTCCATTGTCCATCAGTCACGCCGGAATATTCCACGGCGGAAAGTTAGCGAGCAGGGAGAATGCTGTTTGCACAAATTGAACGTGGCTGATCGCGGGAGTCGGTCCAAAACAATGTCTCGTCTCGTGGGCTGTCGGTAAAAGTATTCCTGCTGGGCTCGCGGTTTGCGACCAGCCGTGCCAAGTTTAACGCCGGGGATATATCCGGCTGGGCCTTGTCTACGATTCCCGGCCAGCATCAACTCTGCCGTTCTCCGCCGTCTATAACGTCACGACACCACGTCACTCTGACGTCACGGGCGCGGAGTGACGTCACCCGCTGAGTCGACCCGGTCCGATTTATGCGTCTTCATTAGGACCGGGGCGCGCGGGCTTTAAGTGGCTGCCGTGCTGGGCCGATGGGCTCCGGGAATAGCTCCGTCTGGACCGGACCGGCTGCCAGCTGCTGTCATGGCGCGAACAGTAAACACCGGGAGGGGGCAGAGGGGCCCCGGGCACCGACACGCGCTTCTGGGAACTGTTTGGAGGCTACAATGATCTGTGCTATATGATCTTTTGCAGCTTCTGTAATTTACCTCGGTAATAAATACATAAACCCTAAAAACAATACATGAGATGTGCATTGTGCAATTTGCGAAAGACTTATTTCCACATTTTTGCCATGATTTTACTTTTCATTGGCGAGTAACGAAGCAACTTTCGTATGCTGTATGATAAATCGACCTGATGCTGTGCCCGCCAAGCATCTCAATAACTGCTGCCAGTCGGCCCACTTAGCCCTGGGGGAGAGAGAGCTGGTCCGCCGCCCATCTGCTATTCCCTGACATTTGACTCTCGATCTGACCCGAGCGGTGACATTCGCCGCGCCGGGGCGCTGATTCGGCCCGATGATCAGACTCCTCTCGTCATCCGGTGTGTCGGTGGTTGGGCCCGTCCGTTCGTATGCCCGTTCGTTGTTTATGAGGATGCGGGTGGCACGATGGTGCCTTGTTCACGGTGAATTTGAATTGATGGTGCCAACCGTCTCGCCCTTTTGTTACTATGGTAGAACGCCAATTGATGTAGGCTATGAATCCCTGGTTATGAGTTGTGTTGCTAGGTGTTCCACTGCTCCAGCAGGTGGTAAATCGTGTTGTGTGGTGTCTCGGTGGCTTTACCGTGTTGTTCTGACCGCTCCCCGTCCCTGTTCCAGTGGAAGAACGCCAGCCCGGAGCAGGTGATGACCTCCAGCAAGATGCGCTGCGTGTTCGAACTGCCGACGGACGTGGCGGAGGAGACGCCCGCGCCCGCCCCCGCCGTCAGGGTCAGTGCCCCGCCCCCGCCCCCGCCGGCAGGGTCAGTTCCCCGCCCCCGCCGTCAGGGTCAGTCCCCCGCCCCCCGCCGTCAGGGTCCGTTCCCCAGCCCCGCCCCCGCAGTCAGGGTCAGTACCCCGTCCCCGCACCCGCCGCACTGTAGGCCGGCAGCCCGAAAAAGCGCTAGAAATTCCCCCAAACTGACTGTCCGCAATAGGAACAAAATAGGTACCAGTATAACGCCTTTTGGGGCGACTAACGGAGCGAGCGAGAGGGTGGGCCTTGCACGTGCGAAATTGCGAGGGGGTACCTCCAACTGACTTGTGCACGGCACCCTACTAACCGGTCTCTAGCGATGTGCCAAATTTGGGCACAATCGGCCCAGCCGTTCTCGAGATCTGGAAGCGGCACCCTGCACGTGCGCACGTGCAAAATGGGTCCCAACTGACTTGTGCACGGCACCCTACTAACCGGTCCCTAACTGTGTACCAAATTTGAGCGCAATCGGTCGAGCCGTTCTCGAGATCTGGAAACGACCCCTGCACGTGCGCACGTGCAGCAGCACCCCAACTCTGGCACATGGATATGTAGTGCCTAGTGGGTGCCTACCTACATGCCAACTTTCAGCGCAATCGGCCAAGTAGTTACCGAGATATTGCAACAATTACAAAAGTGACACCTCTTCGTTTTGCACGTGGCACGTGCATAAGGGGTCACCCACATGCATCGGGAATAGTCCAATACTTGGTAGAAGGAATGAAGCTACCCTACAAAATTTACCGCATGTAAATCGGTCAAGTGGTTGCTGAGATATAAGCCTCGCAAAAGCGTGACCACGGCCGGCCGGCCGGCCGGCCGCTCATACTCAGAAATTTCTGTTAATCTAAGGAAAGACTACGCTCGCTTCGCTCGCTCCGTAATCATTTAATCCCAAATTGATCGAAGAATACGATTCCGATGCCATTTTTGCCCTAAGGTCGAAATTGAGGTGGTCAGTTGTCACCAAACACAAGACTATTTAGACTCGCTAGTGGCCACCACATTTGCCGATTTTAATGCTAATCTTTAGTTGATATTTATTAGTTGACCAGTTGTCGTTTTGAACGCAATTTTCTGTCAGACTAGTTCAGGGCACTGTTGTTCACTGTACCAACAACATTCTTACATATTGCATCGCTTTTCTGCAAGATAAGCTAGCTTTTTGCAAGCAGCTGCAAGACCTAAATAAAAATCATATCTAAATTTTTAAATAGACTTATATAAAAACGTTATTTCGAGCGGCTAAAAATAAACATCTTATACTAGCCGCTGATTACTAATCTTTCGTTCCATATAGGTGCTTTGCTGCTTTTCCCTGCTACTTTTCGAGATATGCGCCAGTAAACCACATGATGTAGGGGCAATTGTCACCTCGCCGCTCTACTGAATGCCCGGCGCTCTTTAAAGCGCTGGAAGTTGTGAAAAACTAACGCTTATAATCTGAATAAATTATATGTCCCTGAGCTCAGAATTGATCAACGCACACAATGCTGTCAAAATTTTTGGGCCAAACTAAAAAATTCAGTCATTATTAACCCCCAAACACAAGTCAGTGATAATCAACAACAACTTGCTCTTAATTTAGACTTTTTGAGAAATGTTATTTCGAGCCGCTAAAAATGACCGTGCCATACAAACCACTAATCATCTTTCTGTCATGCCCTACTCGCAATTTTAGCTAATGCCTGCTACTCTTCGAGGTCACGTGACATCACCATTAAAAGTAAATGGGGAGATAAGGAAACTGTTGTTTTTGCGCATGGAATGATCTCAAACTATCTCAAGCACACGGAATCGTGATTTCATGCGCTCCTTGCAAGATCCGATGCTTTACTTTTGCATTTTTGACCTTCCGTGACGTCATTTATGACGTCACTACGGTCATAGGAGTTTCTTGTCAATAACTCATGATCAAATTGAGCCAGCGACTCGGGAAAGCCACCAATGGACTCGTGAAGACCTCCTGAATCGAATGATATGCAATACGACCTCATTCGATTAAGTTCGTGGCCTGATGGGCTCTGACCTGACCTTGACTCAAGGTCAACACCTTAAGTTGACCTCACCCGAACAAAAGTATACCATTCGACGCGCCTGAGCCAGGCAAACACGATGGTGCCAAAATCGCTGCTCTGCGGCCATTTTATGCGAAATTATTTACCAAAAACCAAACCTTCCTTGGGCTTTTTGACTTCACCTCAGAGGTTACCGGTTGACATGGGACCTTAAAATCGGGTATCAATCGTTCCGTCTTGAAACGGCGCACACGCTTGTTTTTTCCGCGAGGCTCTAGCTCCATTAGGGGCGAAACGGCGAAAAGGGGTCGTACCAACCCTCCCCCCTCGGCCGGCCGAGGGGGTGGGGGGTCCGACAATAGGTCCGGCGAGGGTTAAGCAGCCCTACTTCGTTTTTAGCATGTTTGCTTGTCGCTGAGATCAACAACTCAATCACAAATAATTTCTAGCACTTTTCCGGGCCCCCGGCCCAGTGTGCGCCGGTAGGGTCAGTTCCCCGCCCCCGCCGTCAGGGTCAGTACCCCGCCCCCGCCATCAGGGTTAGTGGCCATCCCCGCCCCGTCGTGAGCAAGGGTAGGTAGTGGTCGGACCCAACAGGTTGGCCCCTGGTTGTGTCCACTGCCCACGGACCCGTCGGGACTCCACTGCTGGTGGTGCCCTGAACTTTGAGACGGTTCAGGTATAGCCATTGTACGCTGTGATTGTTGTGTGGGAGGGGGGAGCTGAACTGGCATTTTGCTGTTGGTTCATGTTGCCGTGAGGGTATCGACATGTTATTGCTTCCCAGAATACTGAAGTCTGCAGTTATTGTGGTTGCCGTTGCCAACTGCCTGATTGTTTTCGGTTGCTGTCTATCACTATAAGTTCGCCAATGAAACTACTACAACCCCTCGAAGGTCTCTCTATTCACGTCTTCATGCTAATTGTTCAGGGAGCTGTCACCATCTAAGCGACTGACACATCCCGATCGGTTTCAGCACCCGGAGCCCAAAGACATCAAGACTGCCACGGACGAGGTCAAACACCTGAGGGACGAGATCAGCAACGTCATGGCCGAGAATCTCCAGCTCAAGGTGCGTCCGTGTGAGCCGCCCATTACGGCACGAATATACCGGCCTTTATACCACGCCTGACAACTAGCCCTAGCGCCACGCATGAACCCACCTTTTTCCATGTGTGCGCTGTGGGTTCGCCGTGCGTGCGATGCGGCGTAGACCAGGTGTGCGGTAATGAACGTGGAATCCTTAATTAATGAGGGGAGGTAGCGGCTTTTCCGCTAATGAAACCACACAGAGTCGTGACTCCGTCCCGTAAAGCAGACGTCAACAGGAGGAAGCCGCGCATCATGTGTGCCTGCTTCGCTGTGACTCCAACCTGATATTGCGTGGCACTAACTCGCAGCTGTGTTTGATGCGGGTAGCGCCAACTCATGTACTCATTGCATTGTAACGTCTTGGCTATCACGCATGCAAGGCCTTCGATGATTCCTGTCAGCCGTTCCGTCGAAGGATAGGTTCCCTTTGCTAATTGAACTCGTGGCAAGTGGGAACATCTGAATTAATCATAGTTCCCATGCGTCCCTCCGATCACCGGTACACAGTAGTGAATGTTTGAGGCGCACAACGGCTGCGTGTTGGTAACTAGTATAGACCCCCCACCCCCGGCGCACTCTACCCTCTCCGTCAGCCCCGGTACTATCAGAGCTCCGGGCGCTACTCCCACCCGGTCCCAGCGACCCGCACAGACCAGACTGGTCCGTCTCCCTATCAGACCCCCGGCCGCAGGAAGCCGACTGTCTCTGACCAGCCCTCGCCGAGCTCTCGTAGGGCTTCTCAGCCGCTGAGCCGGGCCATAGCCGCCTTTCACTCTTCCAGCGTGCGCTGAATATGTAGCACCGCTTAGCGGCATCTCATTTCGTCCTGCTGTATATTCAATTCGTTTGTACCTACTCTTTCCACTCTTCCTGGAACTCTAGTTATTTATTGTGGTTTGTTCTCTTGACTGTTCAGATGTCCTGACGTTTGACGCATCCTCTCATTCCCAGCAGTTTTACACCGTTCGTTTAAGTGGTTTTGTACCGTCCACTTTAGTACCGCCTCCAAAACAGTGTTCTTTCGGTGCTTCGACCCCCGCTCCATGTTTGGTGTCGCTGTAGAATCATCTTCCGAAAGATTGCCCGCCTTGCCAATGAAGGACCCGCCTTCACTACGACTACCCTTCGTACGGCTACCCCTCCAGCTGATTCCCTCCTGGCGACCATGCCTTTCCTCTCCTTTTGTCCACTGCCGACCCCGCCGTCCTCCTCCTCCCTCCGAACCACCCCTTCCCGTACCCAGCCACCCCTGCCTCAGCTGACCTCTCCCCTCTGCACCCGTACTCAGGAGGAGGGTCTGCGGCTGCGGCGCCAGGCGGCGGCCGGCGACCGGCCGGTGGCCTCGGCGGCGGCCTCTCTGCCGCCGACCGCCGCGCCCGCCGAGCCCATGATGTACTACGTGCTGGCGCTGGTAGCGCTGGTCGTCGGCGTTATCCTCGGGAAGCTGGTCATCTAGGGCCGGCCGCCGGAGCGGGCCTATCGCTGACACGGGACGGGACGCGCCGAGACGGGAGGAGACGAGAGGAGCGACGGTTTGGGACGAGAGGAGGGACGGTTTGAGGCGAGAGGAGGGACGGTTTGAGATGAGGAGACGGAGAGGAAGAACGGTTTAAGTCGAGACGAGAGACATTTGAGGACGGGTGAAACTGCAGCAGACCGCCGGAGAGTTGTCGGTGTGTCGGCGGCGGCTGGGTGTGTGTGCCGCGCCGCTCCCGTCGCCGCGGCGGACCGGGTGTGTCCCCGAGTGGAAGTGCCCCCTGAGCGGCGACCGCCGGCGCGCCGTCCCGCGGTGCGGTCGCCCGCCGTTCGATCCCCGGTGCCGGCGCTGTGTTCCGAGGAGGCTCTGACCGGCGGAGGTCCAGCGGGCCGCCCGAGCGGAGGGGCAGCGCCGCCGTGCCCCGGAGCGCCGCGCGCCACGCTAGTCTGGGTCACGGTCCAACCGGCTGACCCGAGCCCCGCCCCGCCCCGCTGTATATACGGTTTAATTTGCCATTTGTAGAGCTGTATGCTGCCTCCCAGGATCAGATCAATACACGCTCGAGTGATCGCTGTGCCGCGCGCTCTATTTGCAGACGTGGTCTGCCGTCCGTCTGCCGCTCCGGCTCAGTCCATTAGCCGTATACGTCTGGCGGCAACGTTATCCGGGTAGCTGAACGCTAAAAACCAACCCGACAAGTCAAAGGTCAAGTCAAAGTCAGTCGAATAGGTCGGCGGTAATCAGTCATAAATATACCGAATTCTCGGAGATGTTACATTTGGTTTTGATACATTAACCATCACTTCATTTGTCGCGTCAATCGCCATCACATTTCCGTACCTCTCTACGATTCATATGCGACTTCTATTGTCAGCAGATGTTTCACGGAACACTGAGATGTTTCACGGAACACTGATCACGCCGGATACGCGGGGAGCGCGGCACGACCGACGGCTGGGAGACGGTTCGCCGTCCCTCCCAGACCTCCTCCATAGCACGGCGAGCTCCGGGACGTACTGGACCTCGAAAGGTCCGGTAACACCATGTCGGCGCGGTACCACCATCTAACACATTGTGGGAGACATTAGAATGAGTTCTCCAAACACGGCACGGCTGAGGCAACATAGAGGTACACTTCGGCACAAAGCACGGAACACTGAGGGCACGGAAACACATTCAGAAACGGAATTCAGCAGGGTAATAATGGTCTTAGCTACGGTTTCCAACACTTCTACCGCATTTCTTCCCGACACTCCCTTGACACTTGGTTCGCAGTTCATATTAAGTTCTCGCAGTTCACCTAACAGTTCATAGCACAGTTGATACACAAGGCGTCCTATAGCCGGCCCCGCCGCCGGCAGCGGCGACGGCGGCGGAGCAGAGATCGCACAGTCCTATCACAGCCGGAACACGGCGCTGGACGAGCTGATGCCGTTGTAGATGAACGTGTTGTCGATGGGCGCGTACTGCCCCGTCACCAGCTTGATGACCTCGTGGGCGGCGCAGCCCCCTGGAGACAAATGACACAGAGAGGTCGGAGGTCACAGAGGGGTCACAGTCGCGCGGTTTAGGTTACTGAGAGGTCACAGAGAGGTAAGAGGTCACAGTCGGGCGGCTTAGGTTACTGAGAGGTCACAGTCCGGCGGCGCAGGTCACGGAGAGCTCACAGTCGGGCGGTACAGGCCAAAGTAGAGCGGCACAGGTCACCGGGAGGTCACAGTCGAGTACAGGGAGGCCAGTGAGAGGTCACAATCTGTGTAGGAGGAATGACGAAGAGAGCAACGTGATGAAATGGTTGACAAGGCGCAGCGCCGTGCTCTAAACGCCGTGGCCCGTCACAGCCTCACAGCGCAGGCCCGTCACAGCCTCACAGGACAGTCTTCCCAGCCATCTTCCCGGCCATGGACAGCCCCAGCGGCTATCCCAGTCCCATAGGCTATCCCTCCGCCCAGTCCAGGTGAGACGGCGGTATCTCCGGACGGCGCCGGCTGTTTACGCTGAACAAACACCTGTGTCGAGCCAGAACACCGGCCAGCGGACCACACTGGGCCGGGGGTCCGGAAAAGTGCTAGAAATTATTTGTGATTGAGTTGTTGATCTCAGTGACAAGCAAACATGCTAAAAACGAAGTGGGGCTGCTTAACCCTCGCCGGACCTATTGTCGGACCCCCCACCCCCTCGGCCGGCCGAGGGGGGGAGGGTTGGTACGACCCCTTTTTGCCGTTTCGCCCCTAATGGAGCTAGAGCCTCGCGGAAAAAACAAGCATGTGCGCCGTTTCAAGGCGGAACGATTGATACCCGATTTTAAGGTCCCAGGTCAACCGGTAACCTCTGGGGTGAAGTCAAAAAGCCCAAGGCAGGGTTTGGTTTTTGGCAAATAATTTCGCAAAAAATGGCCGCAGAGCAGCGATTTTGGCACCATCGTGTTCCCCTGGCTCAGGCGCGTCGAATGGTATACTTTTTGTTCGGGTGAGGTCAACTTAAGGTATTGACCTCGAGTCAAGGTCAGTTCAGAGCCCATCAGGCCACGAACTTAATCGAAGAAGGTCGTATCGCATATCATTCGATTCGGGAGGTCTTCCCGAATCCATTGGTGGCTTTCCTGAGTCGCTGGCTCAATTTGATCATGAGTTATTGACGAGAAACTCCTATGACCGGTGTGACGTCATAAATGACGTCACGGAAGGTCAAAAATGCAAAAGTAAAGCATCGAATCTTGCAAGGAGTGCACGAAATCACGATTCCGTGTGCTTGAGATAGTTTGAAATCATTCCATGCGCAAAAACAACAGTTTCCATATTTCTCCATTCACTTTTAATGGTGAGGTCACGTGACCTCGAAGAGTAGCAGGCATTAGCAAAAATTGCGAGTAGGGCATGACAGAAAGATTATTGGTGGTTTGTATGGCATGACCATTTTGAACGGCTCGAAATAACATTTCTCAAAAAGTCTAACTAAAGAGCAAGTTGTTGTTGATTATCACTGACTTGTGTTTAGGGATTAATAATGACTGAATTTTTGAGTTTGGCCCAGAAATGTTGACAGCATTGTGTGCGTTGATCAATTCTGAGCTCAGGGACGTATATTTCATTTAGATTATAAGCGTTTGTTTTTCACAACTTCCAGCGTTTTAAAGAGCGCCGGGCCTTCAGTAGAGCGGCGAGGTGACAATTGCCCCTACATCATGTGGTTTACTGGCGCATATCTCGAAAAGTAGCAGGGAAAAGCAGCAAAGCACCTATATGGATCAAAAGATGAGTAATCAGAGGCTAGTATGAAATGTTCATTTTTAGCCGCTCGAAATAACGTTTTTATAAAAGTCTAATTAAAAAATTGGATATGATTTTAAATTACGTCTTGCAGCTGCTTGCAAACAGCTAGCTTATCTTGCAGAAAAGCGATGCAATATGTCAGAATGATGTTGGCACAGTGAACAACAGTGCCCTGAATTAGTCTGACAGGAAATTTCGTTCAAAACGACGATTGGTCAACTAATAAATTACCACTAAAGTTCATCATTAAAATCGGTAAATGTGGTGGCCTATAGAGAGTCTAAATTGTCTTGTGTTTGGTGACAACTGACGACCTCAATTTTAACCTTAGGGCAAAACTAGCATCGGAATCGTATTCTTCGATCAATTTGGGATTAAATGATACCTATTTTGTTCATATTGCGGACAGTCAGTTTGGGGGAATTTCTAGCGCTTTTTCAGGCTGCCGGCCTACAGTGCGGACGGAGAGGGGACGGAGACGGGCGGCCACAGCTCGGGGGAGTAAACACCGCGACCGCCGGACGGCGGGCTCAGGAAAGGTCACGGTCAGCTACTGAGGTCGGGGTTTGGAGTCAATGGGTGTGGTCAGGGGACCTTACTAGACAGAAATATCGTGGTAAGTAGTCAGGGGTATCGAGATATTGATACAGACGCAAATTCATTCAATGTGAATCAGGAACGGTGAAAAGGCCGGAAGCATCGCTCATTTCTAACTACTGGCGCTCTTTTCAATGCTCAATCCCTCTCCAGCGCCTGCCCCATCCTCACAGCCCCCTCCTCTACTCCCCTGCCCCTCCCCGTTCCGTACCGATCAGCGCAGCCACGGTGTGTAGCTCCGAGCCGCCGTACCGACAGAACTCCTGGACGTAGTCGTCCTTGATGGTGTTCTGGCAGCCCCAGTCGGACAGCAGGCGACTCAGACACGCCTGCAGGCGACACGGGAGGGGGGGGGGGACGGCTGTCATCCCGGCACAGCGGCCAACACTGCACAGAGGTGTGCGGCGGTGCGGATTGGAGCTACTCGTATTTTCGTCCTACCATGTACAGACTGGGAATGAGTGGTTCCGCAAGTTCCTTTTGGAAGGACAATGTCACTAGGGTGCATTCTACACTCTACTTAGTTGCGTCCAACATATGAGCATTCGATGAAAAAGCACTCGTGACCGTGGCGAACTGTACTATATTTCGAATGCACATTGAGAGCAACTTCAACGCAAGCAGTCGTGGCCGAGTGGTTAAGGCGTCAGACTCGAAATCTGATGGGGTCTCCCCGCACAGGTTCGAATCCTGTCGGCTGCGAACACTTTTCGACCTTGCCCCGAAAATGGGTCACAACTAGGGTTACCCGCGTGCTCCGCCACGCGAAGAAGGGTTATTTCAGACCCGTGGGTATTGGGTTCGTCTGTGTCGATTTGGCTGGTATCCATCTCGTTCGATTGCTTTTCGACGGCCAAGCATTTTGTAATAAAAAAGATGCATCGCATCGAGGTGCCCGTGTCACTTTAGAATGATTCGAAAACTGGCGGTGAAGTCTTTTGAGGGCCATCGATGAATTTCGCTAAAAATGACAATGTAATGGTTTGGAACATTTACATTTTTAAGGATACTGTTGCTTATCATGCGAAAATGAAGAGTGAATATTGGACAAAATTGAATGCTCTATCCAATGGTACCATATTCAATTGCCAAAGGTATCAGGTTATGCAGCAAACCCCGTGTGATTAATAAAGTGGCACAAAATTGACAAACACCATTTTCTCCTGTGATTTGCACCACCTTGATTTGGATCAATCAGCTTTTCACGATTTTTATATGAGAGGCGGTACCTTTCTCTTGCAAATAGGCGTTGATTCAACTCGCTCCATTTAACGGTCACCTAAAAAAAAAAAGATTAATTCCAAAATCCCTCAAAAACCGCAATTTTTCAAATAAAAGTGCCCTCTCCGGTGCACGTGGCGCGTGCTATCCTCTGCATTGCACACCATTCAATAGCCCGTTCAATTCTGTACACGATGCTGATTTCCCCGTGCCGGTCGGACCCCTGGTCACCAAGATATTGCACGGGAACTGGACCCGTGTCGGTCAAAATTAGCCGTTTTCGCCCGATTTCGCACGCCGATTTATACATGTAAAGTCTATGACGCGAATTTGCACTTTTTGAGCACGCGCCACGCGCCCCCTATCAATCCGATCGAGAAAAGACCCCTCAAAGGCACGTCGCGCATCCTTGATCTATAAGTTGTGCAAATTTCACCGGGCTAGGTGCAACGGTCTGGCCTGTAGTCCACGCAAAGCACCACCAAGTTGGGACCTCGGTAACGGACAGACGCACCCTCCTCAAATAGTAAGATAGATTGGCCCGCGCAGCCTAACACCTATACATCGTACTGTAATCTACATAAATACACCACTCGTGACGCAAATTACTTTTTGCTTTATTACAGTAAGTGATCGGATTGACATCCAGGCTCCCCATGTCAGTGTCAGTCTTCCCGCGTCCTCC